AATCCCCCCCAGCCAGGCCTGCGGACTCCAAATCCCAGAATCCCCCCTCAGTGAGTTCAAGAGTTCAAAAGGCCTTAGCCTTTTTAAAACTAAATAAACCTTTAAATTCTCTCACCAGGCTCATCGAGCAGGGAAAGCCCAGCCGAGTTTATGTTTAAACCGACCCCCAAATCCCTCCCTGAGAGGTCTGTGCAATCAAAATTATTTACCAGATATTGAATAGTGCTTCCCCCTGAAATTTTTAAAAAGGCCACTTTTCTCATCGGATTGGGGCTTTTCGACGTTCTTTTTTTGATGTTATTGTTTCTAAAAGTCGAAATTGACGGTTTCCCGGGGAGATTCAAGCTCCCCGCCAGCTCCATAGACAAGACCTCATCCTTCCCCTCCAGCCCAGAGAGCCGTTATTGAGAACAGGTTGGCAATCCTGAGGAAAACAAGGCCGCTTGGGGGATTAAGAGGGCCTAACCTTCGCTGAGGGCGAGCTTAGCCGGGCCCACCTCTCAGGGTTGTTGTGCGGAGGGTCTCAGACGGTCCCTGGAGCTCCCGCGGAAAAGGCGGGAAGGAAAAGGCGTTTTTCGGCTAGGAAAGCCACACCGCTCCGTCCTCGCTACCTACCGGTCGCCACTCGTGCTTCTCGGCCCGGCTGCCGTCCTGCCCTTAGCTGGGCCTGCCCTTTTCAAAGATGGCGCCGGTGGGGATGAGCTGTTCCCGCCCCCCCCGACCCGCTTCAAAGATGGCGCTTCCGGCACCGCTTGGGCCCTGGAGTTCAAAAAAAAGACTGAGGGGAATTTCTGATTGGGTGGAGTCCGCACGCGGGGGAAGCCGGGAGGGCTTTACGTCAGTGGCGCCGCGCTCCCTCATCCCTCCCCTGCGCCAGTCGACCCCGCCCCGCTTCATAGATGGCGCTCGCGGCGGTTCGCCCCGCCTCCTTGGCCCGCACACTCGTCGCCCGACTCAAAGATGGCGGCGGCCGCGGCGGGGCTGAGGCGGTCGGCCCGGGGGCTGCTGCGCTGCCCGGCGGGTGAGGTGCTGGGGGGGCGGCGGGGGGGAGGGGAAAGCGGGGCTCGGGCCGGGATTGTGGGGGGAGAAGGAGGCCCTCGGCTTCCCCCGCTCCGGGATAGGCGGGACCGAGCGCCCCGCCATTCAGGCAGGAGGAAGGGAAGGTGAGGTGAAGGGCGAGGGAGGCCCTTCAGCCCGGCTTATTTGCATACAACAACCTAGGATGCTCTCTTGAAAGAATCAGGGGCGGGGCGAGAGGGACTACACCCCCCTATCTTCCACGGCCGAGGCGACTGCAGGGCCCATTATCCACATAGTTCCCCGATGCACCCCCCCTCACTGCGCCTGCGCGGTAGGCTGGACTGAGCCGTCCCCACTGTAATCAAGGCGCTCTCGAACCTTGCTCCTCTTTGACAGCCTGGACTACAATACCCATAAGTCCCAGCCAGCACCTGTTAAGAGATGCTGGAGTTAGAAGTCGTGCTCTGTTTCCAGATCTTCTCTTCAGATCCTGGAGTTTTCTTGCCTACGGAAGGAGCTTCTCTGCCTGGAACAAAGTCTGGGTTGGGTGGCCCGATTTTCTTGCACTTTTTCCCTCCTGAATTTGGAAGCAGTTGAGAAAATGTCAAATGGCAGCCTGTGACCAAGGCTTTCTTATTCCATTCATTCATTGATCCTATTAGGCTTCGGTCGCCTGGTCTCTAAAGAAGCTTACAGATTTTCAGAATGGCCACGGGATTAAAGCTAATAAGCATAACCATTCAATAAAACAACATGGTCATAAATAACATTACAGATGCAAAAAAAACCCAAACAAACAAAATACCCCTTAAGACAATCCAAATAGCTTCGAAAGATTTTGTGCCTAAGGCAAGACTAGAACTCACAGACTCCCAATTTCTGGCCAACCGCTTCTGAAATCTTGCCAAGAAACCTGTAGGGACCTGTTTAGGCAGCCTTCAAGAACCAGACATCATTGAATGGAAGAGGGGGAAAAAACAGCATTTGGTAGAGCAGCGAAGAATATCTTGGAAAAGATATTCAGGTATCAGGATGCTTGAGATCAGAAGTGTGTGTGCCTGGTGAGACTATAAAGGAAGTTGGACTTAGAAGAAGAAGGAGAGGAAGAATATTGATGTATTTGAACTTCGATGTTGGAGAAAACTGAGAATTCAATGAACAGCCAACAATTAAATGGATAATTAAACAAGCATTGAGGCGCACATGACCAGGCTCAAATTTTTCAAACACATTATACTTGAAAAAGTATATAACATTCTCCATGTTATATACTTTTTCAAGTATAATGTGTTTGAAAAATTTGAGGCGGGATGAGGGACAAGAGAGAGAAGAAACAACAAGGTAGATGGATTCAGTTATAGGAACAGTATGTGCACTGTTGAAAGATTGGGTTGGAGACTGATCATCTTGGAGATTGCTCGTGAGGAAGTGATGGTGACTTGATGGCACATAATCAAGAGTCAAGGAAAAAATACTTTAATGGGACTAGGGCTTTGTAGACAATTGCCAGCCTCATTTGTAAGTCATTACTGGAAGTAGCCTTTATTAGATAATTTTCTTTGGCATGTTATGAACAAAGACTTGGATTTTTAGGTAATATTTGTCTGGTGTACCAGTGACATATTTTGTTAAGGGTATATATATGTCTTACCCTTAGGCAGTGTGATTTTGTGCATAGGCCTGTTGTAGGCTTTGGAATTCTGAAAGCAGGCCTTCACATTGTAAAAGAAGAGTCATTACTCAACTAATTTCTGTTTTCAGTTTTTCGAAGCCAGTTATATAAATCTCAGCGGGCCTTCCATCCCGCAGTGGCACTGCAGAGAGCTTCAGAAGAACAGAAACAACCACCCTTCCCACCTCCCAGTCAACAGTATTCAGCATCTTCACCTGTGGATGAAAAGCATCCAGGCTCACACCCCAGGTAATTTGCATAATGTCTGGCCAAAATGACTGAGCAATAGCAATACCACTTAGACTTATATATAGCTTCACAGTGCTTTACAGCCCTCTCTAAGTGGTTTACAGGGTCAGCCTCTTGCCCCCGACAATCTAGGTCCTCATTTTACCCACCTCGGAAGGACGGAAGACTGAGTCAATCTTGAGCCAGTCAGGATCGAACTCCTGACAGTGGGCAGAATTAGTCTGCAATACAGTATTCTAACTACTGCACCACTATGGCCCCCTTCCTTCCTTCCTTCCTTCCTTCCTTCCTTCCTTCCTTCCCTCCCTCCCTCCCTCCCTCCCTCCCTCCCTCTGGAGTATATGGTAGCAATAGCAATACCACTTAGACTTATATACCACTTCACAGTGCTTTATAGCCCTCTCTAAGCAGTTTACAGGGTCAACCTATTACACATACACACACACCCCAAACAATCTGGGTCCTCGTTTTTCCAACCTTGGAAGGAGGGAGGGCTGAGTCAACCTTGAGCCTGGTGAGATTCAAACTGCCAAATTGCAGTCAGCCAGCAGTCAGCAGAAGTAGCCTGCAGTACTGCGTTCTAACCCTGTGCCACTACCACTCTCTTCTTTGAGCTTTCTTCTTTCCCCAAAGTAGCAATTCTTTGCTTTTGGAATGAACACATTTTAGTGAGTAATTTAGTAGCTGGCATTCTTCTCTTACTCTGAGGATGCGGCAAAGCAGCATTCAAATTGACAACTGAGCAATTTTGTGAACCAGGCAGGCACCTCTAGAATGATTGGGTGTCATATTCATGTGCTTGTAAACATTGATAGATAAATGCTGACTAGATTTACAGAAATTCTAAGTCATAATGTAGCTTATTTGATATATGTCTTAACTATTTTTTTAATCAAAGCTGCCAATAATGTTGCAGCCAAAAATACCATGTCTAGACAAATTATGTCTTAACCATGTATCGAACGAAGGCATGCCCGGTTTCATGATGGCATCAGTTATAATTAGCGAAAATAATAAAAGCTTTGGACTTCTAGTGTTTGAAAGTAATTGTAAGACATGCCTTCCTATGTTTTTACCCCTAGTTACACAGATCAGGGGGGTGAAGAATCGGAGGGCTATGAGAGCGAGGAGCAGATACAGAATCGGATCCTGACAGCAGCTCTGAAATTTGTGCCCATTCATGGCTGGACAATGGATGCAATTGCAGAAGGGGCTAAGGTTTGTATCAAGGGAAGCAGCATGTTGAGACCCAGAGGGACTGATGCTTTAGCTTAACTGAGTTCCAAATTCACGTTATTACTGTTGAGGTTCTTTGAGAATTTTCTGCTGTAGAACTTTGAATTCTATTCAGAATTAACATTTTAAACTCCTTGTTAAGAGGATTGATGTGCAGGAAATTTCTGAGACTCGCCTCTCAGTATGCCCCCCCCCCCCATTTTAGGACATTTTGCTTGCTGTTTTTTTTTGCAAAATAGGTTCTACAGGTAGTTCTCGACTTACAACCATAATTGAGCCCAAAATTTATGTTGCTAAGTGAGACAGTTAAGTGAGTTTTGCCCCATTTTACATCCTTTCTAGCCACAGTTGTTAAGTGAATTGCTGCAGTTGATGAGGTAGTAAGTAACCTGCTTGTTAAGTGAATCTGGCTGGTCAGATTGACTTTGCTCGTCAGAAGGTCGCACAAGGAGATCACGTGACCTTGGGATACAGCAACCGTCATAAATATGAGCCAGTTGCCAAGCGTCTGAATTTTGATCTCGAGGCCATGAGGATGCTGCAAACGGTTGTAAGTGAAAAATGGTCACAAGTCAGTATAACTTCGAACAGTCGCTAAATGAACTGTTGTAAGTCAACTATTTGTATTTCCTTGTAGTTTTGCAATACAAAACAGAATTTCCTATTTTTATAACATGAGGATTACCCAGGACCTGGGTTAAAGTTGCTCGGTGGGTCAAGAGAGACACTAACGCAGCTGGAAAGGGGAGGAAAAAAAAGGGGAGGGCACATCCCCTCAAAGCTTTAGCCATTCTGTCCTGAAGGCTCCTCATACATTCTTTTAATCCTTCTGAGAAAACCCTGTCAACTTGATCATTGCAAGGACAGGCAGTCCTTGACTTAAAACAGTTTGTTTAGTGACTGTTCAAAGTTGCAGCGGCAGTGAAAAACGTGACTTGGGACCAGTTTTCGTAGTTGCAATCTTTGCAGCATCCCCATAATCATGTGATCAAAATTCAGATGCTTGACAACTGGTTCATATTTATGACCGTTGATGTGTCCCAAGCTCATGTGATCTCCTTTTTGCGACCTTCTGGAAAGCAAAGTCGACGGGGAATTCAGATTCACTTAACAACCGGGTTACTAACTTAACAACTGCAGTGATTCACTTAACAAATGTAGTGAGAAGAGTTGCAAAATGGGGCAAAACTCACTTGACAAATTCCTCACTTAGAACTATAAATTCTGGGCTCAGTTGTGGTTATAAGTTGAGGATTACCTGTACCAGTGTACCCCATCGGCCGTGGATGTTCCTAAATAGGATTTGCACCTCACAGGGTGCCTACTGAGACTTTCTAGTGTATAAATGGAGAATAGTGTCCTCCCCTCAGTGGGACTGCTGGGTCCCACACCAAACTGTAGATCACATCA